TGTCCAAGATAGATACCATATGGATGTCCTTGACGGATACCATATGGATAGCTGAAAAGTTGGAAACGCGATATCCTATGGATGTCCATACGTCATCCAGTGTACACAAACTGGATGTCCTATGGATGTCCGAGATGTCCTGAGGAGGATGTCCATTGGATCGAGTTGTGTTATTAGGGGAGGTACACGGGAAAAAATTTCAGGAAACGGATCTTGATTTTTTTATTCGGTGTCCTTGGATTTGAGTCAAAGTAAAGTTTTATAAAGAATGGCCTCACTTGGATGGGTTCACGGGACGTTCGCTACCTGTTAACAGTTTATTCTTCCAATGAATCTGTTGAAATAGGATTATTTGTTTGAATTTTTAGGAAAATAATAGGAGAAATTCAACACATTATATAGAGGAATTTTCAAATTCTAGGGTGCTGATGGAAATGATGTACTCCCAGTTGATCTAAATTCAAGTGGACCTAGTACCCCCGCGGCCCGCAGATACTCCATCAACGTCTGAAATATATTTGTATATGAGTCAGTTCGACAACTATTGTATATTGAAAATAATTATTTCAACTTCTTTTATTTATGTAGTTTGTTCTGAAATTACAAAAGACTAGAATATATTATATAATGTACCTATATTTTGTATCAATGTTTTTTCTCTTCTATAGAATCACCATCCTCATTGTGTGATACCTTGGAAATATATGAAATATATCTTGCTCCAATATTCAACAATAAGCATGCACATATCCAAATTGAACGATATGCAACAGCTTTCAAAAAATTGATTCTGTAATGTTGATAAATGATGAATAATTAACCAAAAATTATACCTAATGATTTGATTTTTCGCATTTATCATTTTTTGTTTTTCAGGAATAAATGTATATGGGTCTGCATCATCTAAAAAAGTGGACCAGAAATGATCATTTCAATTCATGATTTTTAATGTTTTTCACGGGTGCACTTGATACTGGTAGACAATATCAAAAATTTTTCCTCGAGTTTTTCCTATATCCAGGCCATTAAAAATCAGGAATCAGAATGATCGTTTCTGGATTCCTCTTTCAGGTATGCACATTGCACATCCCTAATATTTCAATTAAATTGCACATCTGAGATAATCAAATTATGTTCCAGAGACGAGTAATTTATGATCCGAGGACAACTAAATAATGTTTCTGGAATAATTGTATTCTTCAGTGGTAGTAATTAAAGGATGTACCCAACATCAGTTAGCTATATCTCAGAGAATATCATCTATTTTTCTGCAACAGCATGCTTTTTTACCTGTTGCAGCTATATATAGTATTGAAAATTTATCAAACTGTTGAATAACTATCATCGAAGTATGAACCTACAACAGGTGAAGACGTCTCTAAGATTAAAAAGCAATGTTTCAAAGGGAATTATTTAATGTTCAATGGTAATTGAACTGTCTAATCAATGTTATTCAACACTTAAATAATCCTGAGTTGATTTTGAATATATTTATTTATTAACGATCAACGAACTATACCGGGTGACCCGGAACCAATTTACCCCCCTGTATCTTCGTTATTATTTTATATGGATGTTTCAAATTCGGTACTTCGATTTGATGTTATGAATGTACAATTTAGCAAGTATCAATCCAATTATGACACTTCCGGTTTTACCGGAAGCGCATCCAGTTTTTATATTTCAAATGGGAAGTATTTTTTTTGAAAATTGCAATTCGGTATAGAATTACCTTTACAATAACATATCTGCTGGTATAATTGACATTTTATAAAAAAAAATACTTTTTGTGTTCCCCTCGTAACGGAACATTTTCATGAAAGTATGCTGTGGAAGATTGAACAGTATCATGTAAGTAACAATAATTCATGGCCAAACGGTAAGTTTTATGCAGACTAATTATTTTTATAATTTTAGTTTTACTTAATTTTTCAACATCAATACATAGGAATTTTTAATGTTGGTTAGAAAGTCAAATACATATTGAAATACAAAAAATGAAAAAACCTCTACAATTTTGTTTCCTAATTATTTTTTATGAAGATAATTTCCATGCTATACCTTGTATTGAACAATTCAACTTCATGTTAGTTGGCTATGGAATTAAATTTGTTGAATTGTTCTGTTGTTGTGTTTACGCCAAATTGTTGACATTTCTAATGTTCTGAATTGTCTAAGAAAATCATTTGTGAAATGAACAACTACTACCGATTTACCCAAACTGAAAAAGTTGATATGTTGTTGATATATGGAGAAGCAAGGAAAAATTACTATTTAGCTTTGCGTCTGTACCAGGAGAGGTATCCTGAACGTCCGCATCCTAGTAGTAGAAACTATTTTGCAATATTGGAGTCACAGTTCAGAAAAGAACGGAATAATCATGATGGGGAACATGTTATTGTAAGCGAAGATACGGAGATCACTGTTCTAGCAGCGGTTGAAATTGATCCAAATACATCATTAAGGCAGATCGAATATGAGGTTGGGGTACCTAGAGAAACAGCACGAAAAATTTTGAAAAAACACCGGTATCGTTCATTCATATATCAAATTCATCAATATTTGTATGAAAATGATGCGCAGAGAAGGATTGAGTATTGTAACTGGGTTATACAAAAAGAAACAGAAAATCCAAATTTCCATTACAATATTCTTTATAGTGATGAATCACGCTTTACAAACGATGGTCATTTCAATAGAAATAATTTACGTTATTGGGCACAAGAAAATCCGCATGTGTTCAGAGAAGGAAGACACCAGGATAGATTCGGATTCAATGTTTGGCTAGGAATATTTGGAACCAGAATAGTGGGACCAATTATTTTTGATAGAGCTTTAACAAGTGAACGGTACCTTCAAATCTTAAATGGTGAAGTTCAAAATTTTATTGAAGACATTCCCTTATATAGCGACACGTCGCGTTATGTATTTCCAACAAGATGGAGCACCTCCACATAATTCGAATGTAGTACGAGGACATCTTACTAGAACTTTCAACGACAATTGGATTGGTACTCATGGCCCAGTTCGTTGGCCACCAAGGTCACCAGACCTCACGCCAATGGATTTTTTTGTTTGGGCTCACTTGAAAAATAAAGTTTATGCTCATAATAGACCTCAAAATCGCGAGGAACTTGAAGACAGGGTAAGGAGAGCCATTAACGAAATTACTCCGGCTCAACTAGTGAATGTTATGCGGGCATGCTCCGAAAAAAAAAAACAAAAATGCATTGACGTTAACGGGCAACAATTTGAACAATTAGATTAATTGAGTCTGTCATAGGTGTTGAATTTCATTTAAATTGAGTTATAAAACTGTACATGTTCCAAATGTCTACTATTTTGTAGGAAAATTATCGAAATAAATATTTTGTGCGTCCGATTGTGCAGTTTCAAAAATAACTCCAGACCTTTAGAATAAATTTAATTCCATAGCCAACTAACATGATGTTGAAATGTTCAATACAAGGTATAGCATGGAAATTATCTCCATAAAAATAATTAGGAAACAAAAATGTACAGGTTTTTCTTTCATTTTTCGTATTTCAATATGTATTTGAGTTTCTAACCAACTTTAAAAATTCCTATTTATTGATGTTGAAAAATTAAGTAAATAAAAATAATTAGTCTGCATAAAACTTATTGTGTAAAAAGTTTGGCCATGAATTATTGTTGCTTACATGATATTGTTCAATCTTCCACAGCATACTTTCATGAAAATGTTCCGTTACGAGGGGAACACAAAAAGTATTTTTTTTATAAAATGTCAATTATACCAGCAGATTGTAAATTGAAAGTATGATTGTGATATGTCATTGTAAAGGTAATTCTATACCGAATTGTAATTTTCAAAAAAAATAATACTTCCTATTCGAAATATAAAAATTGGATGCGCTTCCGGTCAAACCGGAAGTGACATATTTGGATTGATACTTGCTAAATTGTACATTCATAACATCAAATCGAAGTACCGAATTTGAAACATCCATACAAAATAACAACGAAGATACAGGGGGGTAAATTGGTTCCGGGTCACCCGGTATCATTGAGTGTCTGTTGCAGGTATACCAATTCAGGAAAAATATTTTATCTACCACTATCATACTGTATATCTGTCCCATATAGTATTCAAGTTTTTTCTCTGTGTATATTGATTACACTGAGACACCGAACAACACATCTTGCATTCGCTGGTCATTATTCGCTATAGCATGAACTTAAGCGTGAGACGCTGCAAACACACTTGGGGTCAGCAAAACTGTCAAATACATACAGGGTCTAGCTGAAATGATTACAGTTACTTACGGCTAAACCGGAATAACATTATTAACAAAAACAATCACATCAGATGCATCATGTGTCACTGTACTTGACTGCGAAGTTTAATAAATTTTGTCCTATTAGTTTCAAAGATATATACTTTTACTTGGTTCCATACTCCATCCCAACCCTGTATGTATAGCATACTACTTCATTGGAATTGATTTTTAGAGGAAACGAAAACGGAAAAACTTTGAAAACATTTATTGAAATATTCACACAAATTGTTACTATTCTGCAGACATACACTTTGCAAGAGTTATTGGGAAGTTTATCGACCATAGAGGCGCTGTGAAAATGAAATGTGCAATATGTACTTATTGTTTGTCAATGTTTTTATATGGGAGATAGATTTTACTTTTATGAATCAGAACCTCTCAGTCGTCTTACACTTTCGGCTCACCAGCTTCCATGAGCTGCTCTCGGTCTGCTGACAAAACACGGTGCTATTGCTGGCAATTGGGTACAGTCCATGCATATCCTAGATCTCTTACTTATGAGATCTCATTCTACGACGAAATGGTAGAAAAACTTATGCTCAATAAGTGTGACAGCGAAAATTAGTTGAGTTCAGATATTTCTGTCACGCATATAAAAATATGTCATAGAAAGCTTTTTGGCCAATAGGTACCTCATAAGTTTGATATTAGCAGAATTGCAACAATCGTATGAATACATTTTCAATTAGTCCAGGCCTTGATAACCTCGTGGTAAGGTACATTTGTTGGATTACCTAATGGATTTTCTAGTATAATGGTACCTTTGACACCATTCTCCTCGAAATTCGAAACTTTGCAGAAAGGCAGTAAGTCGCCATTGGCTAGACTTGGTTTGGTTCCAATTTCCGTTATGAATATTGTTACACCATTTAATTTCATCAGTTCTTCATTGCTAGCCAACAATTTATTGTCTACCCATAGGTCAATGTTAGCAACACCAAAGAGACTGAAAATTTCTTGTCTCAACATTTCTAGCGTGAGCGATTTATTCCCTGCATTCAATAATATCATGCCCTTGGTAGCGTTATTGCAATATCTAGATTTTTTACCAACCAACTGAATATTTGCCCATCGACATACTGGCAATTGATTATTGCTAGTTTGTGTTAAAACTAGGTAAATGTTGGAATCTTTCAATTGTTGCTTTTCGTCAATTATCAATTGATCTGAAGCTTTTTTACTGCCCATGAGCAAAAACTTCGTTTTCAGTGTCGCTTCAATGAACTCTGTGAATTGTTGAGCAACCCTATTCAAATCACCATCAGCCTCATAGAAAACAGTTATTTCATCAGTTGGTACCAGATGCGCCTTCTTGCGTAGTTTCTGGACTCGATTTATGATCTCTCTTGCTAACCCTTCATCTTGCATCGTAGAATCAGGTGTAACATCTAATAGTATCAAAACGTCATTGTCGCTGTGTACTTCATACTGGTCAGTATTCAAACTTTCCGCCTTGAATATCAAACGGACCTCCGATATTTCGATTGGACAACCGGCTATTTCTCTAGAACCTCTCTCCATCATTTCATTTATTTCCGAATCAGTTAGAGATTTCAGTCCGAGAGTCACAGCTTTGAATTCTTGCTTCAATCTGGCACCAAGTATTTTATGGTCAGGTTCTGCTCTCAGCGTAATTCCAAATTTACTTTTATCTGTAGTTGTACTTATCTTCCTCACATTCAATTCAGACAGAATATAGTCTTGCAATGATAGAATGTCATCTAGGTACTGCTGCTCTCTGTGCACCACGATTATTTCTGGCAAGGGGTATTTGACAGGCATGGTTTTTCGATCACGCACAACCCTACCTAATTCGATGACTGCTTGCATTCGGGATACAGCACGTTCGATATTGGTGTCAATCAGATTCTGATCGGGCTGTGGCAACATGAGATGATGGACACTATCTGCACTCGAATCTGTTAAATGTTTCAGGCACTGGTACATTGTTTCTGTCAAAAATGGAGAGAAGGGTGCCATCATTTTGATTATGTTCAACAAAATGTTGAACAAGGTCATTAGAGCAGCTCTAGAATCAGTTTCTCCTCCTTCGCCCTTCAGCCTCTTCCTGTTCATACGGACATACCAGTTTGTAAGGTAATCAAAATATTTTGTCAATCTTGGGATAACGTTGTATAAATGATACAGTGCCATCTCCTTGCGAATGTACAATAACAAGGACTGTGTATAGGATAATATCCACTTGTCCATAATGTTTTCGCTGCCAACACTCTTCTCGTCATACCTGAACATTTTGTTATTATTCTGGACGTAAATTTCGAGATTTTGCAATAAAAATCGGTAAGCATTATACCATGGAAGAAAAACGTCTTTGACTATATCTCTTACGCCTTCTTCCTTGAATCGCAAATTTTCTGCCCTTACCACTGGTGAATTGATTAGATATAACCTAAGAGCGTCAGCTCCATATTTTTTTACAATTTGTAGTGGATCTGGATAATTTTTTTTGCTCTTAGACATTTTTTGACCGTCACTGGCTAGCACCAATCCATTGACTATGAGGTTTTTGAATGGCGCTTTTCCAAACAACGCGGTTCCTAAGACGACAAGAGTGTAAAACCAACCACGAGTTTGGTCTATTCCTTCGGCGATGAAATCTGCAGGGAAGCATTCCTCAAAGTCTTTTGCATGTTCGAAGGGGTAATGTAACTGGGCATAGGGCATGGATCCAGACTCAAACCAGCAATCAAATACCTCAGATATTCTCTTCAAGGGAGGGTTGCCTGAAAACAAAATACTGATTATGTCATTTATTGTAATTGAAAGGTTTTACTGATTAATGGATTGTTGATCGTGCTACAAAGTATAAATTTCGCGGGTCACCCCACTAATATTGGTACAGATCGGCCGATTCAGACAATCGCTATTTTTGATCAAATTTTAGAAATAGTGAATTAAAACCATAGCAGAGTTTGACAACATACAGCACGTAGAGTATCCAGAACACTTATTTCCCTAAATGTAAGGAACAAAATTGTTCAAAAAGTAGTATTACAATCGTTATTTTAGCAGAAGCAAACAACTATTCTTGTCAAATCGCAAGTATTACGAACCGCTAGATGGCACTGAAAAAACGTCAAATTAATATCAAATATTGAAGTGAAGGTGATCAACTACACTGAGAACTAATATATTTGAAAATGATTCTTCTTCTTCTTCCCTTTTACTGGCCTTCGTCTCTCGACACAAACATCAACTAATGTTTTATTGACTTCATTTACTTCAGAGAGAGCTTGCCTTGTGGCATGTCTGGCTTTTCATTATACTCTTTGTTGGGTCTTTTATTAGATTAAACTTCCAATTGATGACAAGTATCTCGTTCATTCATTGACTTCACTAACATCACATTTTTTCAATTCTCTAACTTATGTCATAATATATAAATACTGGGTGTAACAGTCTCACACGCTCCCACTCAACTAGCTACGGTACGTAATCTTGCAGTCGAATATTTGATTGACGAACCCTTTGAGATCTACGGAGTGAAGGTAGTAATTGTTGTACTGGAATAGTTGTTGGGGGTGGATATAGCAGTTCATCACCTTGTGAATCAAGATGTTCGGGTATGTCACGTTCGGGTACATGAGGTTGTTCGGGTATGTCACATTCGGGTAGATGAGGTTGTTCGGGCTCTATAATTCGTGGGTCTTCTTGACCTTGCCTTGAATGCTATGAAAGTTGCTTGGAAAAATGGTAAAGGATATTGTTCAGATTCTTCAAATGATGTTTGATCGTCTATAGTCTATAGTCTGGGGTGGTTCATTTAAGAATGTAACAATTTTTTTAGGACCTAGGGTTTCTCTGATTAGATAGATATCACGTTTCAAGGAAAAACCATTATCGAGTAGTACTTGATAATGAAGTAAGCCATACTTCCTTGTGAAAGTTTTGAATTTCCACAGGCATTTGTTTGTTTCGTAATATCTAACTTGCACCCTATCTCCCACGCTTAATTTCCCCGTTCCTGGTAGTTGATTTTCAGATTTCGCGTGTTTGGGCGGTAGTAAAGCATCTAACCTAATTCTCAGATTTCTATTTAGTTACAATTCGGCTGGCGATCGACCACCAAATAGAGGTGTTGCTCGATATTTTAGAAGAATCTCTCGGACCTTTTTGTTCATTGGAGTACGATCTTCAGACATAGCTTAAAGTCTCATTTTCAATGTTTGAACATTCCTCTCAGCCAATCAATTATTTGCTGGGTGTTGTTTTGAAAACGTCTTAAAATGTTCGCTAACGAATATTTTTGCGTTATCTGAATCCATAACATGGGGATATCCATAATTCGATCGTTTTCTCAGAAGTTGGAGCTTCTCGCAGAATTTTGATTTCAGCCCATCGTGATTATGCGTCTACAATGACTAAATAATGGAAACCTTGAAATGGTCCGGCATAATCTATGTGGGCACGGTCCCAGTTTTCTAAAGGTAGATCCCAATGGTGTAGTGGTGCTTTTGAAAGAGATTTTCTAATTTCTGCACATGGTTGACAAGATTTAACCATTTTGTCTATGTCGATATGCAGTTCCGAAAGAACCAATGGTTGAAGTGATGCTGGAATGACGATTCTTTGCCCTTTGAATATAATTTCATCTTCTAGAGTGAATTCATTTCCAGTTTGATTATGATATTTCAGATCGTATTTTACTCTAGATAAAAATGGATCATCCTCTGTAGCAATTAGAATACTTTTATAGGTAAGATCGTAGGTCGAAATTTCTTTGATTGATTCCAGACAAAGTTGATGCACTTCTTCATTGATATATTTCTCCATTGAACTTGGTGGTTGATTGATAGAAGCTCTTGAGAAACAATCGACATTTAATGATCTGTTATATATTTATTCAATAATATATCAATTAGAGGATCGATGATTTATTTGCTTGTCATACATGACATGTACCACGTTTATCAATATATACATACAGGAAGATACATTACACTCTCCCTTCCTTATAATATATATCAAACACAATAATTTAAATAATCACCATCCTAAACGTTCTGGTGCTTTCCGAATACGATTCGATCTTCTTAAAACGGGAGATCTCTTGGCCGCTTCTATAATTTCAGGTATCAATTTCCTATCAGTTGTAGATGGTTTTGACACCGGCGATTCCGTAGACATAAGTGTCGTTCTTGATGATAATATTCTTTCTGAAGATGATATTCTTCTTCGAGATGATGAAGTTCTTATGTCAGTTGAACTGGAGGGATAGGCTGAACTAGATGATTCTTCTACAGGAACGGATTGTTGATCTTTTCCAACTTCAGAAGTAGACGATTGATTATGTGAACGTTCAGGTGGATGTTGACCTTTGTGTTGATTCATCAAGAACTTCTCTTCCATATTGTCGGCAGGACGATCGTCGATGATTGATATGACTCAATGGATAATCAGATATCGCTCTTTGGTTTTGTACCACATTTGATGTATTTGAAGGAGATACATTTTCTTGTTGTTTATACACTTGACATCTTCTCAATTAGTGAGTGAGGGTTGCTGGGCTGTGTGCACGTGAATATATACCAGAGAAGGGAAGATTTGTATTTCGTGCAAGAAATTTATTCAAAATATTCGTAGCAGAGCGCTTTCGACTGTTAAGTAATCATCAGTGCGTACCTGTAAGTAAGTAATCTGCTTTTAGCTATTGGAAAGGAATTGTAATTGAAAATTCTAAAAAAATTTTTCGAAATTTTTTTTGTTAATATTTTTGAAAAAATCTTTCTGGAAATTTGTTAAATATTGAAAAAGTAAAAAATTAAAAAATGAATTGGTGACATGCTACTTTTTTGATGAACTTTTGATCGAAATCGAAATTTGAAATTGTTAAATATGAATTTGGAAATTGATAAAAGTGAGGTTACTTACTCGTCAGGTTAACAGGGAAATTCGTCCATTCACACCAACATAAAATGGCCGCATTCAACTGTTATATACATAGACTTCTGAACATGCCTCTTTCTCCAGTCGAATATCAAGCCGAAATGAACATTTTAAAACAAATAGCTTACAATAACAACTACAACCCAAACATCATCATTCATTCATTTCACTCCCATTCATTAACAATCATATTTCAAACAAAATATCTGGCTACATTAAAAACAACATTGAAAATGTCAAAATTTCTTACAAATCCAATTTTGTAAATCTTAGGCTCATTTTGAAGATAAAACTTCAGATGAAGAGATCTGAATATCAGAATTGACTCAAGATGGCTATCAACGATCTAGAGTTTTCTTGAAAGTGACCAAAATCTGGAACGCCCTCCGAATCTCGGTTGGGAGGAGAATTGAATGAAAATCAACTTGTTCTCGGAAAAACAATTCATTCTGGATGCGTCCATATTTTCCTCGCTCTCAGTACTCAAGAATGTGCGTGAGAAAACACAATTGAAACATGTTCTTGCAAAAACATCAGACCATTTCTCCTCTGTAATGCATGGCCCGTAACCAACGTTACAAGAATCACAGTAAGTGACTGACAAGTCAGATTAGACGTCGTTTTCGAATCATAAACAAATTTTGATTGTTTCGATGCAGCATCTAACGCCCGACCAGTTGGAACTGATTCCACAAATGAGGGAACAAGGGTTATCTTCCCTCCAAATCGCGGATCTGCTAAACACGACAGTCCGATCCATTCAAAGGGCTTATCTCCGACACGAATTGTTTGGTTATTACTGTCGATTCGTTCGGCGCATTATTGCGACTAAAAACTTTACGTAATTGGCAAACTGTTTTCGTGGAACTTTCACCATTTTTGAAATGCGTTTTTACAATAAATAAACGTTCTTTGCTTGATTACTTCTCCATATTCTTAAATCGCATGTTATGTACGTGACAACTGGTAAAAAAATCACTTTATTGAAAAAATCAAAATCCGTTGCTCTTGTTGGTACACCTTTCATGATGAGCCTCAGGTGGTCGGGTTTGTCAGTCACTCATTGTGATTCTTGTAACGTTGGTTACGGCGGGCCATGCATTACAGAGGAGAAATGATCTAATCTTTTTACAAGAACATGTTTCAATTGTGTTTTCTCACGCACAATTCTTGACTACTGAGAGCGAGGAAAATATGGACGCATCCAGAATGAATTGTTTTTCCGAGAACAAGTTGATTTTCATTCAATTCTCCTCCCAACCAAGATTCGAAGGTCGTTCCAGATTTGGGCGAGGATTTGGGTCACTTTCAAGAAAACTCTAGATCTTTGATAGCCATCTTGAGTCAATTCTGATATTCAGATCTCTTCATCTGAAGTTTTATCTTCAAAATGAGCCTAAGATTTACAAAATCGGTTGACGTGGAAAAAAGTTATGGCTACAAAACCAAAAAGTTGATTTTTTGAGATCACTCTGTAAATAAGAGAGATAGGAAGTTGATTCGCGAAATATCTCGAGGTAATGAGATCATCTTCATGCCTCTGTTATCGAAGTTGAGGAAACATTTTTTTTCACCATTTGAGAGCCTTTTGAATATTCCGAAATTTTGCTCAGTGTCGGAAATCACCATGTAGAGATTTTATGTGAATACCCTTATGCTTCAATGAAATACGAGATTATAGCTGGAGAACTGGGCAATCGAACAGTGTGAACCAAATTCAAATTGTTCTAAACTGAAAAAAGTTATTCATTCACATAATAACATGGCCGACATTTTGGTGTGCGACGAAATTAGTGTTGAGTAGTTTAGTAAGAAAAAATCTGCATTTGGACAACAC